AATTTGAGGTGGTGTGTGTTTATTAAATTGAGGTGTTTGTTGTGTGTTGTATGATAATAGGTACTGTCTCTTCCAACTGGCAAAGGACACTTGGATTTCAGTGTTACAGTTCCCCTTTGCATGTTGCAGTTCACATTTGGTACAGATTTTTATCTGTATCATATGTGTATCTGCTAGCATTTGCATTTATTGACCCAAATGTTATTTTTGTGTCATATGCTTTTGCTATTGGTTATTATTACATTCTAGTGATGATGATGTGTCACCTTCATTGAAGGATTTTTATACAACATAATACATACTATACATATCATGTACGATATTGGTTGGTCATCATATGTATATTCGTTTGTAGGTTTCAGGTTGTTCCCAGATAAAGTTGAAGTTCATATTCCATTATCAATTTTCTAAAAAGTCTTCCACCTCAACTCTTCTCCATATCTCTGTCGTTACACGATGCCAGAACGTATATCTAACCTTCGGTCTATCAATGTTTCTAATTTGCTCCGTGATACTTGATATCCGTAGGAACGTGTGGGAAAAATTGTACAATGTATTCCGCAAGAGAGACTTCGGGTAGTTACATTTAAGCATACTACAGATCAATCTGGCTGATACTGCTTCAAACGCTTCAATTGTTGTACATCTGATCGCATATATATCTACATAACTGGCAATGTAATGTCGACAACTTGCAACGGGTTGACAGCAACGTCTCCCAATGTGGGAACACTCGATACTTATCAAGGGATTTCATGCTCCTTCTTTTATCATGGATGGTAACAGACGTCTTACCAGGTATATCCTGTCCAATTGCCATATCTAGAAACGAAGTCGACTCACCACATTGTTCACGAGTAATCCGAATAGGGCTATCAATCAATTCTCCCGCCGCATTTTTCACTGTAGAAGGGTACATTCCTCCGTAAATTCCCCCATCTTTATATATCACATCACCTAATGTGGGCCCTTCTTTCTTACAATAAGCAGCCGTAAATATGTCATCTATGTATCTCTTGGTGCTAACGGCAAATTGCTCTATAAATTTAAACGGGTAAAGCGGTTCAGTCCCTGTCTTTCGTGACTCTAAATGTTCACTAATCATTTCTTTCAAAAAGTCAAATTCGTGCATAATAAATGCAAAAATATTTGCCAAATCTGGGGCTGGAGACATTCCCATAAAGATACCTGATGACTGTTTGTACATTGAATAGCCAAATTGGGTAAATCCTTCATCCAAAATAAAATTTATCCATTTACATATATATCCTTTCATGCCCAATAAAGTATTTTCCATGTGTATTATCTTCTAAACCAAGCGGTATTTCGGTTGACCAGTGAATGTCCCGTACAACTGGCTCTACATCTTTTTTCAAACCCCATTCTATAAATAGCGATTTAAACCCCAGTAGTCTCTCTTGGTGTGCAAATGCCAATTGTAATGCTTCCTTCATCTTTTCCTTCAGGGGGGCCACTGGGATATTTGGGTACAAGCCTACAAAATCATACGTCTCGATTTTGATTTTGGTGGTTTCTCGATAAGACACCGCGGGCGAATTTGGGCGACTCTTCAGGACTTAATCTGATTTTTGATTTCGATTTCTGATCTTGATTCTGTCGATAAGACACATCCTTATTTCTATTGTTGTTGTTGTTGTGGTTGTCTTCACATTGAACCGTATGTCCGTTTATTTCTATAGATGGAGATGGATTTGTTGTGTGATAAGTGGTAGTTTTACTGGACCCGCCCATAGGCCACTTGTTAAATTTCTCTCTAGAGCCTGGTTATTTTCCCAACAAAATATACACCATTCGAAAGCTATGAACCAGGACTTTCGAATGAACCCATTTTTAGCTTTCACAGACACTTTGGTGACGAGTTATGCCGAATATACCGTTTCGCCAAAAACGCGGCGGAACCGGTAAATTACGATTCGTCGTGCCCCCACCACCGCTGGGGAGACCCTATTTGCAGGATGGTCCTGCAACGAAATGCTGCAGGATGGAAAACGCCTCCAGAAGAACCAACCAACCACAAACCCAGAACCAAGCAGCGAACCAAGACACACAGAAACACAGTGAAACACAGACACCTGCTCCACAGACTACACGAAACCAGCACGAAACACACAGCCCCCAACCGGGCAGACTACACACAGCCCACACAGCAGACATGCAAGGTTGAACCAGGGGATGTACCTCTCTCTGTCTCCGCCCCGTGATGCTGACTTCCAGTTCCAGTTCTTACCTCACATAGCGTGTAGAGAGACACATTATCAGCGTGTCGGTGTTTACCCCCCTCCTGTCGTGTTGTAGGTTGTACGCAAAAACACACTGAACCAAGTGTACTCTACACACACTGAAAAGTGTAGACTAGTACACGTCTCACCACGAAAAAAGTAGGACGAAATCACACACACGCGCACAGAGAGAGGGAGCAGCAGAGGGCTCCAGACTACAGCGGCAGCATCTGTGGTTGATATAAATTGGCTCGCGGACCCCTCGCGTCCATTTTTTTGAGTGTACCTTTTTAGGGTAAGTTAGCCTGTGACCTTGGGAATCGACCGCGTCAAGTATTGGATCAGTACGGACAGTTATGCATATGAAAGCTGGGTAGTGAGATCGAAACGCTTTTTTTATGTGACAACATTTTTTTTAGGCCACTACTGTGTAAAGTACGGGGGTGGTGGGGGGCTTTGGTAAAGGAAATGAGCGGATGGGTGTTCGCCAATGCAATGAACAAGTTGGCATGAAGAACTTGAAAGCAGGCGGGTCGAAATATTATTATTACGGGAAATGAGCGTCAGCCATGTGGTGTTGGTCAATCGCTTGCGGCGTGCGGCCGGCGTGCCCACAAGTTGAGGACACCCTCTGTCGTTTAAAATTGCAAGTTTAATCCTACAATCGGAACAAGCACAGGCACACGCACATGAAACACCACACCTCCACGTCCGGCATCCTTCCGGTCTATGATAACCCCAAATATTTACTTGCGAGTCTCCAGCCCAACCGGAAACCAAGAAAATAGTGTACTCCCATTCGCCACGCCAGCACGCACACCAACACGAACGCCGACGACGGCCCGAGACTAACCATGTGGGGCCGAGCGCCGGGGCTTCTACGATGCGTGTCACTCACTGCACGCATGGGCCCTGCAATTAACTGTAGCTTTGGTTGTACGCCCGTCTAGCCGCTCCAACCACAGCACCCCCCTCGTGAGACGCCCTTTTTCGTTTGCCGGTGTCTCTGCTCGTCGGCAGGCGGACGACAGCTGGATTTGCCACCGCCAATCCTGCGGACGATCCTATCCTCGACGCCTGGTGCACTCCCTGCTTAAATTGCCGCACTAGTGCCCGCAGGGCTTCGGGAGGCACAGTCTCTACCCCCAAGCTTACAGCTGCTGTTGCCTCCTTGAGGCAGTCTACGTAGAGAAATCGGCGGTCTTGCGGGGTGGGCCCGGTCTCCTTCAGTTGCACTAGAGAAGACTCAATCGTCACGTTACCAGCATCCCACTGCACCCCCGCCCCCGCTCCCCCTCCCCCCTCG